GTTTATTTCGTTATCAAAAGAAGGCACCAAAGCAGGTATGGAAGGTGGTACCACGGTAGGGGGTAATTTGGCAACTGCCTTTGGAGAGGATTCATGGAAGAAATGCTAAGTGAGACCAGATGGGAACATGCAATACTAGAAAGATGCTTCACTTCCGGGAGGAAGGTTTTGACTGCTTTACAATAGATATAATTACACCATGCTCAACATAGAAGGGGAGTTTTTAAAAGTAGAGTAAATTAGGTCACAATGACCTAATACAATGAGAAAAAAAAAATCCAATGCGCCGTGTTCATCTGACGGGAACGTGAGCCCAGCCACTGGGGACTGAGCTGGGCTCTGCGTGAAGCGGGGCGGCCACCCCATCTTGGCTCCAGAGACAAGTGCTGCTCGCAGGCGGCTTCTCAGGAGGCCAGCAGTTTACTGCTGACTACCTGTGGGCGGCTCCGGACTTTATCGTGCCTGAATTTTCAATTAAGCTGGGGTTAAGACAGGGACAGTGACTTTTGGTTTTCTCGATTCAAAAAAGACTCTGCCCCAGACAGTGCTCTTTGAGTCCCTGAGACATATCTGCGTTGTGCCTTGATGCCTTTCATTTTATTATGGTTAGTACTCCAACAAGCACTAATATTAGCCTTCTATTACTCAGAGAACAAAAACAAAAGTTCCCCAGACAACACTCGAGAGATCTAGGGTGTGTTACAAACGTTCAGGCCCGTGAGGCCGTTGGGAAAGGCCAGGCCGAATCTCTCCATTCATGCAGAGAAGGGACCGGCTCCACACAGTCACTGTTCTGACAGAGGAGGGGACAAAGCCTCCTGAGACTTCCACCCACTGGCACAGGTCACATTAAAGGAACAATACGTACTGACATTTGTGTCTTCCACAATTCATGATAAATAAGCAAACTGGTTATTTGTAATCAGCCAAACTCGCTTCTGGGAAAAGGCTGCTGCTGGACGATGCAGAGCGCATGTTCCTTCCCAGAAACCAGAAAGGAAAAAAAATCATGTTACATTGGCAGCTGACGTCATCAGTTCAAGCTCTCTTCTAGCAATTATACCTCTTCCCACAATGGCAAAGACTAAACCAGGACTTCTCAAGGCTTCTACTCAGCTATCCTACCTGCTTTAGTTATGGTCGATTTTATGGTTAATTTCAGTTTCCATCGTCTATCCAGCTAAGGAGGATAACCTCCTTTTCATTAAATTTAGAGCTGGCCCATGGGAAATAGACACTAAATTCTACTGATGTACACTGTTTGAAGATCAGACTAATATGTTTATGTTTAATAATCTCCTACAAACAATATTGTGAGGTGTGGCAGTTCTTCAAACTGTGTGTGTCTGATCTTGTTTCATTCTCAAAAGGGCCCATTTTCCTCTTGTCCAATGCAGGACTTTCATGCGCCCCTAAAATTAACATGAATCCTGAACAGAACCTCCAGGGTTCAGCTGGGAAGTCTGCTTCTGATTCATCTCGTGGAGAAATGGGGGCTGGCAGAGACAGCTGTGTGGGGACAGAACTGTCGGCCTTAAACACGCCAGGAGGCTTCACCTTGGACATCTATTGTTTAGCCCGTGGTGAGCTGCACCAGAAAGTATCTCAGGGCTGCTATGGAAACAAGGTCAGACATCTCGCAATACCAAGATGAAGAATGAGAAAGTCGAGAAGCATCTTATTATTTTAAACCAAGTTACTTGTGAATGACTGTAAATGCAAATTTTAAAAGTACTATTGAATATTCAATTCTCACAGAGGTAAAAAGTCCCAGAGCTGAAAACAAGGAGGAAAAAGGGAAAGAAGGGATGTGTGAAACTCAACCAGGCTCTCATGTTATTAAGCCAAACAGCTAAACATTGAGAAAATATTACATAAGCTGATCATCACATGCTGTCATGATTTGTCATGTTTCAAGGAAGAAGCTTATTCTAACCCAGCTTGACGGATGTGAAAACTGCATTTATATATGGCCAATGCAGGAAATACCATAAATGCACACACATGTATAGGGACATGTGTGTGCTTCCCTCTAAGGCAGAGCAAAAAATGAGGCAAGCATGACGTATGTGTTGTATGATATTTCTGTCTTTAATCCATGTATTCATGAAAGTAATGTGACTTATTATTTGGGTTCCATATTTGCTCAGCCACATCTCTTAATGAATGCAAATCCTGACAAGTTACTATCAATTCTGGCCATTTTTTTAGTTATGATGGGAATATAACCTGTAGATTATAAATACTCCTCCCCCCATAGGAGGCCAGATTCACTGCAAAGAGATGATCAGCAATATGACCCAGCAACAAAATAAGTAATAGACATTTTAAAATCTGACTTGAAAATATGAGAAGAGGAAGAACTCACATTTGTGGTCAAATCCTGGCCCCACGCCATGAAAGCCCAGCTTTTAAAGCGCATGGCGCTGCACTTGGATAGTGTCTTACTGGCCGCTGAGTCTCCACACCTGACTCCCCACTCCTCCTCCCTCTTAAACAGAAGTACCTGCTCAGAGATCCTGAACTTCTCTCCCTCCTCGTGCTGCCCAAGTGTTCAATGGCCAGCAGGTGACAAGGGCCATTAACATCTGCAACTCTTAACTGGCAAGAGCCCCTGCCAAGCCCAGAAGAATGTGGGAACCAAAAATATGTGAGGCTGTAGTTTCACAGTTTTTACTAAGTTCAGACTTCAACAAAAAAAGTGTACTTGAACTAGGGGCTCAATCAAAAGTGTACTTGAACTTGAGTAATTACGTGAAAATACCGAGTCCCACCTAGAAAGCAAAGGAACAGGTCTTTTTCTAAGAAAAGCAAGTCTGTTGTCTCATGAATCAACTGTGAGGCCGTCAGACGCTTGCTCAGTACCCATCTCGTGAGCAACCTGTTTCCCTCTCTATCCGTGTGCTTTCAAGCATAGCTTCTGTGCTTCATCAGCAGATGCAGTTTTAGGAATGGAAACTGACAGCCTAGTAAAAATAGAACTGAGAAGCTAAATGCAGAGTGCTGCCCCCACCTCCCCCGTTAGAACTGCGTGTAGAACATGCTCTGATCCATTAGCTCAGTAAAAAGTCACATTCATTTTAAGTGGTGTCCATTATTCTCTATTTTTCTACTGAGTTACCCAATAATCTTTCTTTCCCTTTAAAAATAAATAGGGACAGAGAATTCTGTTAAATTCTATTTCCAGACATGTCTATTGCACTTAAGTACTGTAATGTAATAATTCTAAACTGCTAAAATTTCAAAAAAGGTAGAATATTAACTACAGATGATGAATCTTTATTTATTTCGGGAAAAGAAAATTTCGGGGTGCACAGGCTATGCTGTAGCTGGCTTTCTCTAAGTTGCCCATCCTTAACATGGCACGCTCTAGAGTCGTGCTGGCCAACACAGCAGTCACCAACTACACGGGACCGTGTCCATTTAAATGAATTAAAATTAAATAAAGTTTAAAACCCCATTCTGTGGCTGCCCTTGCCACATTTCAAGTGTACCTAATGGCCACAGGTGGCTGGTGACCGGCGTCCTGGACAGCATGGATCAGTGTATCATCCCCTTCAGACAGGGCTCCGGGACCCCATCTGGCCCAGGGGGAGCACACAGTGCACGCTGAACACGCTCCCATTTAAGTTAAAACAGGAGCCTCAGGAATCAGAGGTAAATAACAGTCTTATTGCCTGCGATTCCAGGAGGTGGATATTAAGATATTTTTAAAGTGTTGCTTAAATGGAAGCATACAAAACAAATGAGCCGAAAGGAACTTCACTGTTACAGAAAGTCCTCAGGGGGGAAAAATGGCTGAAAGTTGATTTCATTAAAAGACCCAAAAGGACATAAATTGAATATTTCAAGAACTTCTCTGAGACTGCAACTTGATTAAATAAAACAACTGAAGCGCAGGGTCAGCGGGCAGGGCCGGGTGTCAGTCACTGTGAGAACCCGACTCCACGGCAGCCCAGGCTTCCTCAGACATGCAGGCTGGTTTCCAACCTCGGACCCTCACCCTCCGAGCCTGACAAGCCTAAGGGGAAGCTACCCAGTGGGAAGGTTTGGGCAATCATGAAAACTTTTTAAGCGAGTTAACACAAAGAACAGCAACTTTATTACTTCTAAACATATAATCGATTATCACAGATAATGGACATGACCTGCTTTTTAGACTGAGCTGAGAGAGACTAGTCTTAGGAAAAAAAACTAAGTGAGAAAACTAATTTTCCATTTCATGAGGATCAAAACGGGCCCTTCCGAGGAAGATTTAAATGGATATAAAAATTCTGCCATTGCAATATACACGCATTTATATGTGTGTTCAGTAAAATGATAAATTCATGTATAGGTTTTTTTTTTAATCCAGACATTTGTGATATAATTGGTTAAGACAATTCAACAAATAAGGCACTTTAACTGTGGCCATTAGGTACGCTTGAAATGTGGTAAGGGCAGCCACAGAATGGGGTTTTAAACTTTATTTAGATTAACTTTAATTTAGATTCAATTATTTAAGTCATATAAAAATTCAGAAAGATTAAAAATCTAACAAACTCAGTTTTAAAACAAATCTCAAAGGGAGGGACTTAATAAATTCAGCTTCACTGAGCTTGTTCCTTTGCACTGGGGTTACCCTGTAGCCCCTTTCTGACGATGCTAAACAAACCATACCTTCCCCACATTGGAACCTTACAACCTAAGTCTGAGTTGAAAACTTCAGTGTGGGGAAAATCTAGGCGTCAACAAAGCACTATTGCAGATTTGACCAACACTGTACTTTTTCTGGACATAAAAGTGGTACTTGTACTAGTTTGCTAACAAATAGTAAGACAGAATTCACTTGGAATAATAAAGAAAAAAACTCAGGGGTGCAGCCTGATTACAATAAAAGCTATGTTTTTAAATGATTCCCACAATACCACTAACACGTCTTAAATCTACTCCCCGGTAATCAGGACAAGAGGATGAGAACTGTGGCCAGGCCCCCTGCCCCGAGCAGCCAAGGGACTCACCATCTTCAGGATCGCCCCGTACAGCCGCAGGAGCACCTTCCGAGGCTCGTCTCCGACAGAGGCCAGGGTGTCGGGCAAGGAGCACTGGAACAACATGTTGCTGAGGCCACCTCTGTTGGAAACAAGAGCACCGTAAGCAGCGGAAGCTGAGGGCGAGCCAGGTCACTCTTCTGGGGTAGCTATGGGCAAGAAGTCGGCTCCTGCCCACTATACCTGCCCTCACCTGAGTCTCCACTCAGTCTCTCAGGGCACTTGGAACCCAGATGAACTCCACAGTTCTCATATCAATTCCACATGCAAACTCCCCATCGGTCCTTCTAAGACAGCCATGAGGGAGGTTTTGTGGGTTTTTTTTAATTTTACTTGGAGGTAATTACTTTATAACATTGTGATAGCTTTGACATACATCGGCATGAGCTGGCCACAGGTGTGCCTGTGCCCCCGCCCCCGCATCTGGAGCCCCATCGACGTGAGCTGGCCACAGGTGTGCCTGTGCCCCCGCCCCCGCATCTGGAGCCCCATCGACGTGAGCTGGCCACAGGTGTGCCTGTGCCCCCGCCCCCGCATCTGGAGCCCCATCGACGTGAGCTGGCCACAGGTGTGCCTGTGCCCCCGCCCCCGCATCTGGAGCCCCATCGACGTGAGCTGGCCACAGGTGTGCCTGTGCCCCCGCCCCCGCATCTNCATCTATTTATACATGGAAATGTACATGTTTCAGGCATTGAGCCCGCACTGGTCATCTATTTATACATGGTAATGCACATGTTTCAATGCTCCTTTCTCAAATCATCCCACCCTCGCCTCCTCCCACTGGAGCCAAAGGTCTGTTCTTTACGGCCGTGTCTCCTTTGCTGCCCTGCATGTAGGAGCATCAGTACCATCTTCCTAAACTCCATATGTATGCGTTAATATACAGTATTTGTCTCTCTCTTCCTGACTTACTTCACTCTGTATAACAGGCTGCAGGTTCATCCATCTCATTAGAACGGCTTTTAATTGCATGTAGCATCTGCCTGAGAGAGGGACAAGGGGCAAGGAGACCCTCCTCAACCCTGGAAACTGGGGGTGGGGTATCTCAGATGTATCCCTTCCAGTCCATGTTCATCTGTGACCCCAAATTTCCATCCTGTTCCCATCACTGCTGAGTTAAAATCTTGGAGCCATACCTAAACCATCCCCCCGGGGGCTTTCCACTTGAAGCTGCACGATCCACCCCTTCTCAACCAGATTTGACCAACAGCTGTTTCAAACAACTTGCAACATTAAGAATTATTGGAGCTCTCAGAGGAAAGGGGAGACCTCAACAAACCCAAAACCTTTCATATGACTACCGCAGACAAGGAACACGTTACAGGGGACACTTAACAGGAAAGTGTAGCCTTGAGGACAAATCACCTGCCTGGGTTGGAAATGATTAGTTAGTGCAGATACTGGAGACTTAAATGAAGGAACATAAACCACTGTACAGTTAGGAACTCAAGACCCCAGGCACCTCAACTGTAGTAGGCTTCAGGATCTAGTCAATAGATCGTGAAGAGCTATCACCTAAGCGAAGCACGATGCTGGAAGCTCAGATAACACAACTGCCTCGAGAAACTTCCACTCCAGGGAAGAAAGCAGACATAAAACTATAAGACAGATTGCAAAATCGCAGGACAGTGTCTAAACCAGATGCTCAGCAAACCCTGGCCTACACCTGCCCATCAGATGCAGCTGTATCACACAGCAATGCTGAACCTGTGCAACTTCTGGAGACAAAGTTATGAGCCAGTTGGAGCACGGCTTTCTAGAACAGCAGCCCCCAGTCTCCAGAGCCAGCTGCCTCTCTCCCCGTTCTATCCACCAACAGTCCAGTGAAACTATGCTCCCCAGGGGAGGCTAAAGCACAAACCACGAGGGAACCATCACACGCCCAGACAGGGGTCACGGCACACAGTGGGAGGTACCGCCAAGAACCAGTCCGAGAGAGCAAGTTCAGTTGGTGTGGAGGAGAGCGATAACTGGGAGGAGTTTTTATCTGGAGGTGTTAGCGCTGCTGCACGAACGGTGGCACAGAGTCGTGCCCAGCTCCGCTCCCGTGGCGGACGGTCTCCGCCCTTCCTGGGTTAGAGAGGCTGGGCCGTGCCCAGGGGCAGCCTGCCGCGCCTCGGGACTGTACTTAGCAGCTGCCTCTAGAGCCGTCCAGGCCTGTGCGGCCAAGTGCCAGCACGGAGCGGGCAAAGGAAGGGTCTGAAACCAGCGCCAGACCCGCTCACGCACTGGGCCCTTGCCCGTCCATCCTGCGGTGTGGACCGGCTGCCAGGTCGGTTCTGCGATGATGCTGGCGTCTTCGGGGACACCCCTCCGTGAGCAGCAGCTCCCGCGTCACTGGGTTCTGGCGGCAGGCAGACCTGCCCACGTGCTGTGGTACCAACCCGCCCGCTCCCGTCCTCACTTCTTTGGGCAACCCCAGAAGCAGCCTTGTGGTCCCCCCCAGGTACCAGCCCAGAGGTCAGGGCCCCCACAGCCTAGCAGTGCCCTCGGGGGTTGGGGTCCCAAGTCTGCGGGCCCCTCCTCGCAGCTCCCAGGTTCTGGTCCCTCTTCCCTCGCCTCCCCAGCCCCAGGAGTCTGCCCCTGCACGCTCAGTATCCTAGGCGTACTCACTTGTGCTCCGCTTTTTGCTTTTCTGGTTCTCCTCCACCTGTTCACCCAATTTCCTATATTAAATGCTCTAGGTTTGCTGAAATGCGTGTTGTTCCCATTTTCTTGCCAGGATCCTGACGAGCACACGTGGCCAGAGCGGCAGCGGCTTCTTAAACCATGAGGTTAAGGGCCGCATCCCAGGAATGGCACGGCCATCAGCCACGAGGAGTGCGCGTCCCCACCGAGCCCGGGAAGCTGGCGCACCGGCTCAGCCTGGCGACTCCCGGGCCTCTTCCAGAGGGAAACGAATTTCTAGGTGGTTTAAGCCACTGTAGCTCTGGGGTCCTCTGTCACAAGCAGCTAAGCCCAACACTAATGGATACCACCTGCCACCTCACCCACTGACTCCTGTTCTTCCAGTCAAAACTCCTCACTCTTCTCTAACTACCTACTATTTAAAACCAAGCTGAAGTCCACGCTCCTCAGGAAGCTTTTTCTATCTTCTTGCTAGCTCCTTGAAGGCAGGGGTCACATCTAGCTTCAATTCTCCAGGCCCACAGCCCCAAGGGAAGACGCTAGACACCTTCTGAAAACAACAAGGCCCGCGGCACTCTCCCTTCACTGGTCTCCTCCCTGTTACATCAGAACTGACCATCCTACACTGTCCTCTAACAGGCTGGCGGGTTAGTCCCGGCTCTCTAATGAGGCTGAAAGCTCCCCCAGGGACAGTCCCTTTCTCCTGAGGGAGGGCGTCATTTAAGAGAAAAACCACAGGCTTCCGGGTCAGGGAGCCAGGGATTTAAATCCCAGTTCTGCACTCACTGTGAGACCTCGGGCACAGCGCTAAAGCTCTCTGACTCACAAAAATCCACTGCTCGGTCAAAGAGGAGCACCTCACGTAGTCACCGCAGCAGGCAGGGTCACGGAGCCCGGGGACCACGACGCTCCGAGTATCCAACGGCGGGACCACCTCAACCTCCCGATAACCTCAGGGCGGCTGCTGGGCTGCCCGCATCGCACGCAGGAGGAAGCGGAGGTGCAAAGCAAGGAGGTGGCCAAGCCGGGAGGGAAGGCAGGCGTCGGGCTCGAGTTCCTGGGTTTAATTCTGACGCCGAGAGAGGCGGGAGACAGAGCAGGAGGGCGCCACACGCCACGCCGGACACACAGCAGGTCTGGGCACCCCCGTGGGTCACAGGGGCCTGATGTCAGGACGAGTCTGCAGAAGTCTTGCGTAAGACAAATGACTGCTCCTGTGGTCACATATGACCACAAACTTTGTGGCTTTAAACAGCACACATTCATTGTCTTACAGTTCCGGAGGTCAGATGCCTGAAAACAGGTCTCACAGGGCTAAAATCAAGGAGTCAGCAGGGCTAGACATCAACAGGACATACCACCTTCCAGGAAACACAAAACATAGCTGAAACAGATCTGGAGTGAGTGGCAGGAGTCACGGGTTCGATCCCTGGGTTGGGAAGATCCCCTGGAGAAGAAATGGCAACCCACTCCAACATTCTTGCCTGGAGAATTCCACGAACGGAGGAGCCTGGCTCCTCTCCACGGCAGAGGAGTCTACAGTTCATAGGGCAGCAGAAGAGTCAGACAAGACTTAACGACTGAACAACAACAACAAATGAATTTCAAATAGGGGTCACTGGCTGGGATCAGGAGTCCGTGTTTAATGGGCACAAAGGTTCAGTTCAGGAAGATGAAAACATTCTTGTGATGAATGGTGGTGATAGTTGAACAACAATTGACTGACTTAATGCCACTAAACTGTACACGTAAAAATGGCTAAAATGGTAAATGTTATAAGGGGACGACAGACGACAAGATGGTTGGATGGCATCACCAACTCAATGGACATGAGTTTGAGCAAACTCCCAGAGATGGTGAAAGACAGGGAAGCCAGGTGTGCTGCAGTCCATGGGGTTGCAAAGAGTCACACGTGACTGAGTGACTGAACGCCACCACCATGTACATTTTACCATAATTTTTAAAAAAGGAGTGAAGTCCTGACACACATGCTACAACACAGATGAACCTTAAAAACATGCTCCACGAAAGAAGCTAGCACAAAAGACCACATACTCTGATTCTATTCATATGCAATGTCCAGAACAGGAAACCTACAGAGTGGGTGCCTAGGGCGAGGGTAGAAGGGGTCTGAAGGGGCCTGGGTTTCCTTTTGAGGTGAGGAAATGCTCTAAAATTGATTGTGGTGATGGCTGCATATACCCATGGATATATTCAAAACCATACACTAAAAACCATTGAATCTATCATTTAAGTGGGTGAATTATATGATATGTGAACTGTATCTCAATAAAGGTGTTTTATGGAAAAAAAAAAAAGAACTTTTTTCCTATGTAATGATTTTTTCAGAACCAAGTAAACTGGAATGTGCTTCCACATAAACATTTCACAGATGTAAATAAGTCATTTTAAAGAATATTTTCAACAGCTTATTTAAAGAAAATCAATCACGCA